GGTCACCTTTAATGCAAAGGGAATTAGGGGGATATAGTCATCCTAATTCTTCAAATTTCACAGAGGTAAAAGAAAGAAACATTTTTAGTTTTCCTAAGCCCCTTTACTTTCTTCCCAATGATAAGTGGATGTCTTATCTGACTTGTGAGTTTTACAGAACAACCTCAATATGCTTGCTCAGCTAGAGACTCCAGAGTCTCTTGTTTTGGATGCCACCTGCCTGCAGAGGTGCATTCTGGTCTGTCCTCTGCCATGCCTGCCTCATGGGAGGAGACCTGCGGTTGAACACAGAAGCTAGAGACTGAGTGCTTAGCTCTGCCTCCTGTAAGGGTAAATAAAATATCATTAAGCCCACATAGCCGCAGGGCTGAAGTCACACTCAACTGGCATTCTGATCTCATCTGTTTGCCTGTGTCTTATTTTTCTCTTGATTCCCAACCAGTAAATGAAGACAGGCTTACTGTTTATTGCCCTTTCCCAAACCTAACAGAATTAAAAAATATTTCCAAGGAAGGTGACCAAATTAATTCAGAAGACAGTAGCTTCTTTCCTGCCTTCCTTCCCTTCCTTTCTCCTTCGCTTTTTATTCCTAGCTTTCTTCTCTCCCTCTTTCCAAACATTTAAATCTCTACTGAAGGAATATACAATTGAATAAGACAAAACCATTGTTCTTTAAGACTGTGGTATCTAGCCTGTAATCCCAGTGACTCAGGAGGTTGAGGCAAAGAGGATTGCAAGTTCAAGGCCAGTCTAGAAAATTTGTAAGACCCTCTCTCAAAACAAACAAACAAACAAACAACAAAAGCCAAAAAAAAAAAAAAAAAAAAAAGACTAGGGATGTAGCTCAGTGATAAGGCACTCCTGGGTTCAAAGTACAAAGTAAAAAAAAGCATGGTATTATGTTATGATACAATATAAGTCATACTGAGTATAAAGAAGAGAACATTAATTTTGACATGGAAAAGAAAGACAGAAGAGGATAAGAAATTATACTTTAAGTTGGGCGAGGGCACATGCTTGTAATCCCATCAGGTTGGGAGGCTAAACCAGGAGCATCGCAAAGTTCGAGGCCAGACTTAGCAACTTAGTGAGGCCCTAAGTAACTTAGCAAGACCCTATCTCAAAATAAAACATAAAAAGAATGTACCAGGGATGTGACTCAATGGTTAAATGCCCCTACGTTCAATCCTTGATACAAAAAAAAAAGGAAATCATATTTTAGATTTGAGCTTAGAAGAATAGTATGTATAAGCCAGGAAGACAGAGGGAACAAGTTTAGTTCCTAACAGAAGAAATGGGCATATGACAAAGGAAAAAACATTACTACATCAGATTTATGACATGAAAATATTTTGAAAATACAGAATATGGTTCAGTTATTAAAAATGATCTTTATGCTTTTTACCAAGGAGTCTGGGTGACAATAGAGAGCAAGGGAGAGGTAGTTACATTTTAAAAATATTAATTTAGTGGTATTAATTGGGTATAATTTAGTGGTATTAGTATTAATTTAGTGGTATTAGTATTAATTTAGTGGTATTGAAGGTTTTTGATCCTGCCGGCTTCTCTGTAAAAATCTGAACATATACTCACAAGATATATATAAATTTATTTACATGTACATATGTATTACTCTAATATGAATAAAACAAGCATATATAAAACCAGATGTTTAAAAAGGAAGCAATTAAATAATTATCAGTACCTTGCCACTGAACAGTRTCATACTAATTTGTCCCTCAGATACTGCAAGTAGCACATGTGATAATTTGACATATGGAATGAGTAAGAATGTTGTTACCAATCTGCACAGAAAATGATAATGAAGCTTAATTTACATATAGTAATACATTTATATTTATATATATTTGTAATAATTATATTATGGAAAATAAGTTCTAACATTCTCTTCCTGTATATCAATAGATAGTTTGAGTACCACTATTTTCATACCATTGGCATAAAGGATATATTTAAGGGATAGAATTAAGTAGAGGAAGAAAGATGATCAAGAATACTCAAATATGCATGGTAATCAAAAGAATGAAGAAGATATAATATAAAGGAAAAAGCATGGATAGAAGAAAATAGATAACTAGATAGCTATGTGAAAAAGCAAGTATAGGCTGGGTTTGAAGTTTAGTGGTAGAGTCTGCCCAGTGTGCTCAAGGCCCTAGGTTTACTCTCCAGTAAACCACCCTCCCCCACCAAAAAAAAGCAAATGTAGCAAAATGTTAATTATAATATTACAATGTGGGGATGGATATATCCATCCCCACAGAAAGACAGTGACAGAATTTTGCAGTGATTGATTATATATATATATATATATAAAAAATAAATATAAAATTTATTATATATATATATGTCACTGCAAAATTCTTTCAGTTTTTTCTATATATTGAATATTCTGAATAATAATATATTGGCAAAACAGGAAAAAGAAAAAAGCAACAGGGCTTAGAAACTATATAGGAAATAAAGCAACAAGAGAAGAAGCAGCAAATGTGATTGCAAGGATTTGGGTCCAGATGATTAGGAGGATGGTATACATGATAGAAAGAGAGGTGTGAGGTGAGGAGGATGTCAAATTTAATAGGTTTATTTTGGAGCTGGGAGTGTAGCTCAGTAGTAAATAGAGCATTTGCCTAGAATGTGCAAGGCCCTGGGTTGGACCCCTAGCATCATCTTAAAAAAAAAAAATTGGACAATCAAAAACAAAGGCTCAAAAACAAAAGAAAAACACAAATATAATTTGAAACAGAGGACAATACTAAAGATTTAGTAAACTGACAGTGAAAGCTACTTCTTTTGTGAAGTATGTAAGTCCTTTGGTCATTTATTTTAAAAAACATTATTGAGGTATAATTTACATACTATAAAATTCATCTGTTTTAAGTATATAACAATAATTTTTAATAATTTACTTAGTATGCTATTAACACTACAATCCAGTTTTAGAATATCTCCATCCCTCCAATAACATCCTTTCCTGTTTTTTATAGTTAATCTCTATCACAATCCTTAGATCTAGGTAACCACTAACCTATTGTCTGTTTACATAGATTTGCCCATTGCTGACATTTCATATAAATGGAGTCATACAACATCTGGTTTTCTAGTTTCTTTCATGTAGCATAACGTTTTTAAGGTTCATGTGTGTACAGTATTTTGGCCCTTTTTATTGTTGAATACTATTCCATTGTAGGGTTACATCACATTTTATTTATCCATTCATTGGCTAGTGAACATTTGGGTTGTTTTCACTTTTTAGATATTATAAATAGTGCTGCTACAAACACATGCATACAAATTTTTGTGTGGACATATATTCTCATTCCTCTTGAGTAGATATCCAGGAGTGGAATTACTAGGTCATATGATAATTTATATATAACTTCTTTGGGGGGGGTACTGTGAATTGAACACAAGAGTGCTTTACCACTAAGCTACATCCATGCTCTACCACTGAGTCAAAACCCCAGATCCATGGTTTTAGCTTTTGTGCTAGGCTTTTGATCCTTCTTTTTGTGTATGGAATGAGGAATCACCGAAGCTCAATTTTCTATGTGAATATAAACTTACATCAGCACCATTTGTTAAAGACAATTTCCTTTTCTCATTGCATTGATTTGGCAATTTGCTTCATAATCAAGTAATCAGATATGTGTGCATCTATTTCTGGACTCTATTCTGTTACATTGATCTATTTGTTTATCCTGTGCCATTAACACACTGTCTTACTATAGCTTTATAGGAAGTCCTCTAAATTTGTTTTTTTAAAGGTTGTCTGACTACCAAAGCCTCTGTATTTCCAGATTATTTTACAATAGGTTTGTTAGTTCCCCCMAAATAATCTATTTGAATTTTGATTAGGACAGTATTGAATCTAGAAATCAATTTATGAGAATGGATACCATTAACAATATTGTGGGATTCAATCCATGAGTGCAGTACATCTCACCCATTATTATGGATCCTTATTAACTTCTTTCAATGATGTTTTGTAGTTTTCATTGTTAAGAACTTGCATCTTCTAACAGATGTATTTCAAGATTTCCAATTTTTTTGATGTCATTATAAAAAAAAGTCTGAATAATTCCATTTTCAACTGTTTTTTTTCCCTAGAAAAATTCTTCCTATTATAGTCATGCTGGACAAAACATGGTAATTCTGTTTGATTGCACCTTATTTTCAAGAAGATATAGCAAACAATTTTGGATGAGATAAATTCTACTTACTTAAAAACTATAAAATTTATAGAACATATAACATACAAGACAGATAAGACTATCTGACGATGTTTACAGAAATAATTTTTCCATTAAGTAAGAAAAATTTTGTGTGTGGCAGGGGGATATATTATAGACTTTCACTAAGTTTGTATTGCCGTCCTAATTTTAGCTAAGGAATAGTTATAGACACTAGCAATTATCCCAGTATATAATAAATTAAGTATATATTTGAATGCTCAACAGATATGACAGAGCTACATTGTGGTTGGGAACACACCTAATTTACTGAATAGTTACTTAGGATTTAAAATTTTTTTTTTTAGTTATACATGGGCACAATCTTTATTTTGTTTATTTATTTTTATGTGGTGCTGAGGATCGAACCCAGGGTCTCACATGTGAGAGGCGAATGCTCTACCGCTGAGCCATAACCACAGCCTCAACTTAGAATTTTTACAGTTTGTATTTAGGGCATATGTTAAAAACAGGGAAATTTATTTTTATTAAATTTTTAAAGAGAGAGAATTACAATCCTCATACAGGAGATAAATAAATTTTCTCATAAATTATTTATATGCATATAACATAATTACCATATATGTATATGTATATATATGGCATAATTACCATACTCAGTTGATTATGATATCCATCCTTATTTATGTACATTATGGTTTGTTTAGGGTTTTGAAAAACTCACTAAGCAAGAAGAGTAAGAAAGGATTAAGAGGATACGCATAGTATAAAAAAATTCTGAATCTCTACCTCCATCTTCACAGTCTTCAGGGGCTTTGGCTTTTTTACAGAGACGAGGATCCAACCAGGTGGTCGTCTTGGTATTGTGGCTGTAGAATAAAGATCTCAATTAGAAATAGCAAAATAAAGAGGAAGAAAAGTAATTCCAAAGCTAAGATTAAAAGTGACTAAAAAGCATATGGTATTGGAACATTTATCTCCTACAGCCTCCATTTGTATTCCTCAAATTCAATAATCTTATTGTTCTCAGTCTGTTACTTCAAAACTACCAAGACAGAAAGATAATGCTAGAGGCACTAATTTGAGAATGAAGACTTTAAAGAAGGGATCAATTGCCAAGTACAGAAAAACACTTTTTCAAGCAGTCAAAAACATTTCAAAGGGTGGGCACAGAGTCATAGACTGCATCACCTAGCCAGCTAAGTTGCATTTAAAACCTTATTAGCTTGCTGGCTGAATTTCTTCTTTTCTTCCTTCAGAAAAATACTGTTTCTTGAGTATCTATGATATATATGTACTGTCCTGGGGTCTAGGAATATAGAGACAAATTATCAGACAAAATTTCTGCCCTCACAGGGACTCCTTACAATAAATAGGATAAAATAAAAGTTTTAAAGTGGCTGTTTCTGCAACATGCAAGGAAAAACAATGTGTTTGTTCATCCTGCAGGGGGCCAGGGTGGGGGGAGAAAAAAAAATAACTTGACCCTGCTTCTTTCTATACAAGTCAAAGATACTTTCAGAGAGCAGTGTCTGTTTAATTCCATTACAAGCCAGTCAGCCAGCTTCAGGTCAAGTCACCATGCAGTAAAAAGTAATGCTAAAATGAAATTATCACACTGCTAAGTAGACACTGTTAGCTTAAGTCTCTGAAATACAAAGATATTAAAGAAGAAAAATTTGCAGAAGAATATATAGGATGGCAACAAAATGTAAATTAATTATTAAAGAACTGTTAGAATAACTATGTGAATACGTTTTTTCCTCAGTATCTTTAACATGAGATAAACTCAGTACTCTCTGCCTTGTCCACTCTTAGGAGATGAAGTCAGTGATTTCAGGGCATTAACCGTATCTCCTATGCCTTTTCTAACCCCAGAGCTGCTTAGAGAGATATATGAACGTGGCTTTTTTTTTTTTTTTTTTTTGGTCTGCTGATAACAGGTAATCTATGTAGAAAAAAAAAATGGAGAGTGTTTCTAGAAAGTCTGTGCTTATTTCACTCTTTCAGAGAGATAATCTCTCCAAGTAAAAATCAGTTAAGTCAGTTTTAACAAAATGAAAGGAATCGGAACTCAAAGAGGTCTAGGAGTACACAGATGGTTAGAGGGGAAAAAACCCACAACAAAACCATGGAGGTATCCTGCTAACCCAAACTCAAAACTGCTATATGAGAAAAGCCCAACTTTGATTCCAATGAGCCAAAATTTTATTGATTAAATCAGCAGATAAAGGCAATCCTGTTGAATTTTGCCTGATATTTCCCAAGGTTAAAAAAAAGAGCTGTTTTCAGGCTATTCCTAACCTGTAATAACTAAAGACTATGGACCTATGTTAATATTCTTTTCTTACAGATGCAGACTTTAACACAAATACACCAAGCTAGTTAAACACAAATCAAACATATTGACTATAGCTTTATCTAGAGTAAATTTTCAAGTATTCTAAATATTAACCCCTTATCCAATATGAAGATAATTTCTCCTGCCAGTGTTCTTTGCTGTGTGGAAGTGTCCAAGTCTGATGTGGTCCCACTTGTCTATCCTGCTTTGTTGCCTCTGTTTTTGGTGTCAGAAGTTCCTGCCAAATCCAATGTCATGAAGCTTTTCCTCTAGAAAGTTTATAGTTTGGGCCTTACATTTATGTTTTTAATACATTCAAATAATATTAAACTATAAAGAGAATTCTTTTATACATTCTCTGCACCTCCATAACATACTTACTTATCTCTATTTGTTGAGTGAAGTATTGTCAGATCCAATGTCTCATAATCTGTTTCTAAAGATATTTTAGCCACTTCTAACCTTAAAGAATCCCTTAAGTTTCTGGGGTGTGGTAGCATACACCTGTAATCCCAGTGGCTCAGAAGGCTGAAGCAAGAGGATTGCATGTTCAAAGCCAGCCTCAGAAACTTAGTGAGGTCCTAAGCAACTTAGGCGACCCTGCCTCAAAATTAAAAATAAAAAAAGACTGGGGACGTGGGTCAGTGGTTGAATTCACCTGGGTTCACTTCCCAATACTTTTTAAAAAAAAGTATCCCTTAAATTCCATAGAGAGAAGTATATCTTGTATGTCTGTTTTGTATAATGTTTATATAAATTTATTAATTTCTGCATATGGTAAAGAGAATAACATATACTCAAGATCTATGTTTCTTGAATACTAAATGCTACTTAGTACAGCAAGGTGCTTATTCTATGGGAAGGATCTGGAATTAGAACCATTTGAGGAAACAGATTCAAGTCCCTCATCTTAATTAACTTCTGAATATATATTCTTTATGTGTAGTGCCCAGTCCTCAATACTTAACTGTTATTTGTCAATATTCTATAACTTCACTATATTAATCTTCTAACTCTGAACACACTGCTTTAAATGAGAATAACAAGTGCATAAAAATTTTWAAAAAACTTCATAATGAAACTTTTAGTAAATTATTTGCATAATATTATTCTCTGATGCAAACAACATTCAGTTTTAGGTTGATCTAATCATGTGGTATTCAGTACTTTATGAATATTACATTAATAATGCTTTCCATAAAAATTTTTACTTTTATGCATCTATAGTGTATCAGTTACTCTGAGGATCAGTGAAATTTCTTCCTATATTATTTACCTATATTGTTTGAATACATCAAACCTAAATTCTAGGACTGACAATACTTAGTTAAGATAATAATATGTACTCTGCCATGATGATAATTCTTAATATGCTTATGAAGTTGGATGATCTACCCTAAAGTTAAAAAAAAAGGGCAAAGCTAAGCCTCCTTTATTCTTTACATTTTCCATCATTAGTGATGAGTGTATTTTCGATCTCCCTACTTCTATAAAATAGAGGTCAAATATATTCTTCCTTTATCCAAGTCAAATAAAATGAAATGGTATCCAGGGAAATACCTAGATTAAAAATCAACTCTTACTTGTATAAAAAACATTTTTAAACAAAGAAAAAGAAATGAAAGGCACACAACCAAAATGAGATTAACACCATTCCAGACAATCCTCACAGTGACAGGGCAGATTAGAAGAGATACAGACATTTGCTTACTCAATGAAGTAGATCATCCCCGTGTCAGTATAGGCCATCTCCCAGTTTTTGGGTAGTGGTTCCAGAGTCTCATCTCTCATCATATAATTTCTAAAGTCCACGGAGCTATTTGTTTGGTTATAACTTGGAACAGTCTTCATCCAGTCAGATGACTCAGAATGCCTCTCTCTGTTTTCTGTCATTGTTCAAAAGAGAACAGCATGAAAAGTAGGCAGAGTTATACTCTTCTTTAAGTCCCTCTTCATTTCTAACAAAATGCCAAACATTTTTTATATATGTATATATATAAAATATATAAACCCCACGAGAGAGCATTGCCCCTTTGAATTTTCAGGCCTAATCAGCTCGTGCCGGTCCTCTAACAGACCTACTTAACCCAGTGAGGATGAGTGTGCAGCTGCTGTCCCCACTCTAGTGGGTGGGCAGCCATCTCCTTGCTTCCAATAAATCTCTTGGCTGAACCTCTATTTCGGTGTAATAGATCCGCTTTCATTTCATATATATATACACACATACACACACACACATATTTGTGCAATTATATATTTCAAATTTACTTATTATGTCCACATTCTGCTATAAATTTTGAGATAACAAATAAACATACCCAATTCTTTTTATTTACTAATTCACATTAACCCCTAGAGTATATCTGATGCTAGTCTGGGAGAGTAGCAACAAAACAACTGTGGATTCAATTCAGTATAAATCCTAACAGTAGCATCACCAGTATTTATACATAATTATGCATATGTCAAGCTCTATTCTAAGTGATTAACATTAACTCATAATCCTCACAGCAACCCAGTATATATTATTATTAAACTCATTTTATAAATTGAGAAAACTAAAAGAGAGGTTAAGTTAACTTAGTCAAGGTTACATAGTCATTAAATAGCAAAGCTAGGATTTTTTTAATATACTTTATTTTTATTTATTTATAGTTATGTGGTGCTGAGGATTGAACCCAGTGCCTCACATATTCTAGGCAAGCGCTCTATCACTGAGCCACAAACCCAACCCCAAAGCTAAGATTTGAATCTAAGTGGCCTTTGCTCTTAACTGCTACACTAAGCTGCTCATACATTTAAAAACCACTTTTTTAGTTGTCAATGAACTTTTTATTTTTTAATTAATTTATTTATATGTGGTGCTGAGAATCGAACCCAGTGCCTCACACATGCTAGGCATGCACTCTTGCACTGAGCTACAACCTCAGAACCATGCTCATACACTTTTAAAACAGGCCTTTAAATAAAATTTGTCTTTAAAAATTATACTCAAGGGGCTGGGGTTGTGGCTCAGTGGTAGAGTGATTATCTAGCATGTGTGAGGCACTGGATTCAATTCTCAGCACCACATATAAATAAACTGATACATAAAATAAAGGTCCATTGACAGTTTAAAAAAAGAATTACACTCAAGGGCTGGGGATATAGCTCAGAGGTAGGGCATTTACCTACCAACTAACTAAATAAATAATAAAATTATACTCATTAGACTTCGTTGTTAAATATAATTTTAGGGTAATATTAAAATCCTTTTAGAGTCCCAGATTCTATAATGTAAGCAAGTTCACTAAAATTTGGTTATTGTATAGGAAGTCAATAATTCATGCACTCACAATTTGTTTCTAGAATTTAAATGATGTTACACAATAATATCATTGTAAAAACTTCAAGGAGATCCAACAGGGCGGCAGGCGCGGAGAGATCAAGTCTCTGACCTCTTCAGCTGTGCGGGCATAGGGAGGCGTAAACAGTCTAAATGCTGTTTGCTCAGGATCACTAGGCAATGCTGAGCTGACGTGGATCTGGGGCGAACAGTCTGGGCCTCTCAGAACACACACTGAGCCCGGATCGGCTGAATTCAAGCTCCCATTCGCCTGCTTCCCGCAGACTAACAGCTGTGATTCAGCACTAATCCATCCGGCCGAAACAACTGGTCAGCCCTTCTGATCCTACAGAGGTAAATGCCAATGGAGCCTTCATAGGCAGTGGCCACAGGTTTGAAACGGGGCTTGGGAGAGACAGTAAGGACCCACCCGTTGCATTGGTCACCCGGCAAAGGGAAACGAACTGTCGCCATTTGCAAGAGATACCACCATGGCAGAGAACTGACGTCACCAGA